TACCACATCTTTTTCAACCATTCCTCAGGTGATGGGCATCTTGGTTGTTTCCAAGATTTGGCTATCACAAATTGTGCTGCTATAAACATAGGCACACGTATATCACTATGATGTGATGTTTTCAGATCCTCTGGGAAAATTCCCAGTAGAGGAATAGCTGGTTTAAATGGGATTTCCAATCCAACTTTTCTAAGGAGTGTTCATACTGGTTTCCATAACAGTTGCACCAGTCTACATTCCCACCAGCTGTGGAGAAGGGTTCCTTTTTCCCCACAGCCTCTCCAACATTTGTTGTTGGGTGATTTCGTTATGATAGCCATTCTTTCTGGGGTGAGATGATATCTCAGTGTTGTTTTAATTCACATTTTGCAGATAGCTAGTGATGTGGAGCATTTTTTCATATATTTATTTGCTTCTTTAGAACTCTTGAAAAGAAATATATCAAGATATTTATGAACTTTGTAGTAGTTGGAGCCTATGTTTATCATTTTAAGTGCTAGTCAAAATCTTATAGATGTTTAAGCTGCTCTTTGATAAGATTGGAATGTTTAGATATAAAATTTACCCAGTGACTCAGTCCCTATCTACAACGTTTCTATGAGCAAAGTGGTATCTGCTGCCTAAAACCCGCTTTGTGTGCAGGCAGTGTGCATGTGTGTTATCTCATTGAAGGACCATGTTTTTCTGTATTTATCTGAATGCACTGGGTAATAAAGAAATCAAATTGTGAGATAAATTTTTATGATAATTATCATATAAAGATAGCACGTCTTTTCCTATAAAGTAGATGCAGGAACGTAGTAGGATGAGTGATTTACAGATAATTTAATTCTGTTCCAATCACCATTTATTGGGGCAAGTTATCTGAGATCTTTGGACTTCTTTGTGCTTAGCAACAGAACATAACTTATCCTGTTGAAATTATTCCATATTTTCTCATCATGTAACTACAGGTGTGTAATTGCTTAAGATTCATTTTCTTCCTTTTAATCTTCTGGTTCATACTAGCTCATTGTCTCACATATTCCAATTTTTTTGAGTAAGTTTGACATAAGATTAAAGAAATAATTTCTTTCAGTCATTACTGTTCCTTATCCATTCATTTAGCATTTATCAAGGACACTGTGCCACTTATGGCACTGTGCCACTTTCAGTTATGGTTTCCTGGAAGAGAAACAATTACAACACTGTATGCTGAGTGCTATGGCACGCAGGGGGCATTATTTGGGGTGAGAAAACGATTCCTGGGTGAGGAGGAAAGACGAATGGGTATAACCTGCAAAGACAGAGAGATATTGAGCAGAGAGGGTAGAGCTTAGCACAAGGGACAGGGTGTGAAGAGCAACGAGAAAGCAAGAGAACCAGAAGGGAACTCAGTTCCCCTCATGCTCTGGGCTTCAGGTTCTGTCCCAAAGGGCTGGGGAGCCAGACCAAGGATTCCAGTGAGGGACATGGACATAATTAAATGTGCACTGGGGATGGCAGGTTGTGCATCTGTGTCATGGGAAAGGAAAAATTCATTTGATCCTGCAGACCAGTTTGAAAACTATGACCACAGCCTAAGAAGGGAGATGAATGGCAGCAGGGAGTGGGAAGAGAATTTGGGTGAAAGAGAGATTACGAAGGTAAAGTTGCAAAAACTGGGAGAGGAATTGGGGGTGGTGGGCACTTCTCCACGGGACACTTAAAATCCTAGTATGATGCAGTCTTTGAAAGTTATTAAGAGCCATATTTCTATGTGTGAGTAAGGGCCAAGGATATAGCTCAGATACAGCAGGCACAAGTGCCTGTCTGGCAAGCACAAGGTCATGAGTTGGATTCCTGATACAATAAAAATAAATAAATATGTGTGAGTAGTTGGCAATGTTGCCCTTGCTGCCTACATACCCTTCAGAGGGTGGCATTGAGATATTGGTCATATTTAGAGAAATATGATCAATTTTCTTATCAAGAAGTTGTAGGCCTTTGTGAACACCATACAGTATGCTTTAGGAAGAGTAACTGACAGCTACATGATTCCAGAGGGGGAAATTGGAGGCAGAGTGACCAGGTAGGGAGTGAGAATTCTGAGGATGACAGTAATAAGAAGATGAGAGGGCTGGTGAGATGGCTCAGTGGTCTAAAGCACCTACTTAGAACAAGCTTAGCAAAGCACAGGGACCACGGTTCAATCCCCCAGCACCACAT